ATCCCACTGCGCTGTCATCCTGCTGGAGTCCACCGGCTCTGAAGAAAAATAGACGAGACATATTTTTTGAAACTCAGAAGTTCCTTTACCTCTTCATGATGTGTCCAGGTCTTCTGACCCTGTATCATCAGAGTTTTATACATTTGCTCTAATCACCATGGCTGCAGTCAGGAACTCTGCTTCAAGTTCTCTGAATCCAGGTAGTGTGCATCCAGGTAGTGTGCATGCGTGCGTGCATGTGTGCATGCGTGTGTGTGTGTGTGTGTGTGTGTGTGTGTGTGAAAATAAGGATATAAGTCTCAAAGAACCTGTGTGTTTAGCAGACAGTTGAGCAAGGTAGGACAGGGAGTGGGTATTGCTTCAGATGTGGCCGAGGGCTTTTGCAGAGATTCCCACTGAAACAGCTGAGGCTGGCTCAGAGACTGTCCAAGAGAGAGGAACCAGAAAGGAGATAGCAATGCCCAAGTCAGTCGCCATCAGGACAAAGGGCTGCCGGGCTGTGGGACCAGACCACGTGAGCACGTGGGGCAGAAGAGCGGGCTGGGAGCAGAGTGGTGCGGGCGCAGCTCGGCAGGCCTTGGGAAGGAGTTTGCGGTTTATTTCATTTGTCTGCCTATTTGGACCAGTTAACCTCTGGCATGTTAACCCTATGGCTGCTTGTGCTGCCCAGACTGCAAGATGACAAGGCTTTGTCATCTTTGGTTCCTCCAAGCTTCAAATCAGGCCGCTAAGGCCGTGTGTAGCCGACTTCACTTAAGAGCCGACAAGCACCTTCTCGTGTCCCCTTGTGCCACGTGGCTATTCTGCATGGCTGACAATGACAGGCGGGCACTTGTGCAGGAAGAGATGTTGAGGGGGAAAAGAATTAAAACTCCCAGTCCCCTTTGGTAAGGGTGGCCTTCGAGCCTCGTGTGTTCTCTGTTCAGCTGTTAAGATTGTTATTAAACTTTATGGACCATAAACTCCACAGAAACAAGGAGAGGGAACAAGCATGCTATTACACGAGTGTCAAAACAGGAGCCATATCTCACTGCCTGAGGAGCCCGCACTGCTGGCGCCGGCCTCATACTGGGTTTAACCCTCAGCCTCTGTGGTGAAACATACCATTTGGCACAGTGGCTTTCTGGAAATGATGTCCCCGTTACATGGAAGATCCCAGGGGCCACTTCCTGAAAGGATGTCCTGTACCATTTACCAGCCTCTGCCACCCACCAATAACTCTTATCGGGAATCTGTATGTCATGCTTCAAACATACGCATCCCAGTTTGATAGAACACAGAGGTTGTTATGTGGTTCTTCTTACTCCAAATATTAAGAGTCAGGCAAATGGGGAAGATGTCACACACTTCTAAGGCCAGCACCCATCTCAGAAATGATAAATACTATTTGGCAAAACATTCGTGGTATTCATATTTCCAAGGCATTTGTTTGGTGAAATAAGATACCATGCTAACTGTACTGATATTTCTAGTGTTCTGTCTTCCTTCCCAGTTACATTAGGATTATAATTCTACCTCCATCTTGTGTTAAATCAAAGCTTACATTTTGGTTTAACTGCCTGAGAAATAACTATGTTATATCACTGTGAGGATTGTTCTGCACTGTGGCAGAACTTTGTCTATCCTTCCGAGAACATGGTGTGAGATTTCATGTTAGTATAACATATCAGGGCCTTCGATTTCCAGAGCAACTTTGATGGATTGCCATTGCAATAAAGCGTTTTTTACCATGACAGTCACCTTACTTGCCCATGGGAGTTCATTCCCATTTCAGTGCATGGATGGTCTTTACAGCAAACCATATATTTGTAAAATTTATCCCCATTCTATTTTATTACGCATGGAGAAGTAATCCTTTCTTTTTCTTGGTGGCCTGTGTTGACCTTCCCTGCCTCCTCTGGAGAAGTGGAAGCGCCAGAAATTATAGTGGAGAAGATAGAGAAGTTGGAGGAGATACAGAGAGAAGCGGGCACCAACTCTTTTGGTAATTTGATGCAATAAAACTTGGAAATATCTCCCCTGTTGCAGTGGAATAAGAAGCATTACAGCATCAGTCATTTTCAAGATTTGTGTGTGCAAAAATCAGGGATTTTCCTTATCATGGAGCCAGATCATCAACCCCCTACCCTGGGGACTTAGATTCAGTAAAATCTTAGTCACAGAAACTGGGTAGATCCTCCAATTTTGAAGCTTCTATTTGAAAAACAATTAACATGAGTGGGTCAGAGTCTCACTGCATGCCACACAGTGTGCTTATCACTTGATGTGGGCTACTGTATTGCATCCTTACAACAACCCTGCAAGGTAGTTACTGTTATTATTTCCACTTGGCAGATGACAAATCTGAGATTTGGAGAACTTGCCCAAGGTCACATGATTAGGAGGTTTTGGACTGAGGGGTTTTCTTCTGCATCTTACTGGAAGATACTCACCTGGGACTCCATCAATTGCATTGCTAGAGATCATGAAATACTACTTCGTCCCCTTCACTTGGTACTTTGTTGAAGACATAAGCAGCAGGATTATATCCCTAGCACTGTAATTTAGCCTGGCAGTCCAGGGAAAATACCTTGTGGAATTTCATTTCTTATCATTTTATGTCCCCTTTAATTTTCATTTAAGTTCCCCTTTGTAAAAGGCAGTCCCTTCAGCTCTCATAAAACTTTATGGTCTTTACTTGTGATTAGGCAATGGTAAAATTGATTCTCTAAAACCAACTTCTAGTCAAGTTATGTAATTAGGCAATAAGGGAGACTGAGAGAGTAAGATGTACAAGGTTCTGCCTCAAGAGGTCAGACGTATTATCATTGGTTAGATGCCGTATCTTTAAACCACCATCAGCTTAGAAAACACTATCCATTAGCAAGAGATCAGAGCAATGAGAAACCTCAAAAGGTCGAATGGTCCATTCTGAGGGCTCCACAAAGAAGTCAGCATCCCAGAAGGACAATTAGCCTGCCATCTCTGGGGCCGCCTGTGAGTACAACAGGTCGAAATATTTTTTTTCCTTAGTAGATTAACCCATTGGATTTCAGCTGTAGCTTTCGCTTCCTACATCTCACATACCACATTATATTCTGCCAGAGTAATACTTGATTTTAATCATTCGGCTGGTGTAGCCGAGGCAGTATATAATCAGAGACTCTGAATTTAGCAGAAGGGTTGGGATTATCCTCCTCACAGTTTTGCTTGTTGGATCATGTAGACAGAGGTCCCAAAACAAAACCAAGGCCATTTTTGCCTCTTTCTAACGCAAGGCTGGACTACATTTCCCAGCCTCTCTTGTATTAGACATGGCCATGTGACCATGTCCTGGCCAATGAAATATTGATGGAATGATGCTGGCTTCTCCTAAACTTGACCCTTGAAAACCTGCCTCACTCTTACCCCACAAGATTGATGCAGGCATAGCTGATGGTTTTGGACACTACACATTGACAATAGTAGAGCCACAAGATGAATAGATCCAGGGCTACAGAGTCACTGAGCAGAGCAAAGCCAACCCAGATAAGAGATACTAGTTTGGGACTTTCTGACAAGAATTTTTTAACCACATCACCGTAGTCTGGGTTGAACTAACGGATACCTGTGCTCACACTGCTGGTTTTGGGTAAGAAAACTTCACTGATATTGCTGGTCACTTTATGGATCATGAGAGATTAAGGCTTGATGACTGTGTTTGGGGATGCTGTAAATGGCGTGTGACCCCTCACTGTCATAGGGATACTGTCCCTTCATAGGAGTCCACGCCAGCTCTCCTATCCAAAGTAACTACTTTCATTCTATCTACCCCATCGCTATTTTATTTCTCTCCCTAGCTCTTACCATCACCTGATATTAACTATCTGCCTAGCCACTTCTTTATCACTCATTTATTGTTTTTCTCTTCTCATTGGCTGAAAGCTGCAGGAGAGCAAGGAACTGATCAGTCTTGTCCACCTTTGAGTCTTGCGCAATGAGAGCAATGTCTAGTGCATTGAAAGAACTTGTAAATATTTGCTGATGAATGAATATGTGAATAGAGGAGTTGCAGCTTGCACACTGTTCTGGTGAGATGCAGTTCCAATTTCATGTAATTTTTTTCTGTGTGTAATAGAGGGGATTTTTTTTTTTGCATGAATAACTGAATGAGATCCCTTGTTTAACTGAAGTGCAGAGAAAAGGCAGGAGCTATGCCAGGCCCTGAGTATAAGAGGGAACCCAGGCGGCCTGGCCTCCAGCGATTTCAACTCTGATGGTTCTGGGGAGACCTAGAGTCAGGTAACTGCAGAGATACGTATTTTGGGGCAAGAGCATAGTTGGAAGACCACTTTAGCTTGGCCTAGAAATTCAGAGAAGGACTATCAGGGGGATGAATGACCTGTCAGCTGGATCAGCAGAAACTGAGGGCTGCTCAGCCTTACATTAGAAATATAAAATTGCGGGCTGGGGATGTAGCTCAGTGGCATAAGGGCCTGCCTGGGAAGCGCAAGGTCATGAGTTCGATCCCTGGTACTGCAAAAAAAAAAAAGAAAGAAAGAAAGAAATATAAAATTGCTTTCCAGTCATCATCAGGCTCCTACCTCCTCTCTCTATCCCCGTATAGCCAAACCACATCACAATTCCTTTCTGTGGTACAGACGGACAGGGTCCCCTTCCAGGACCACGGCAGTCATCCGGCATGGAATTTGCTCATACAGTGGCCATCTTGCCTGGTACAATTCCATAAGAATTAAACGTTATGTATCTGGAACTCAGAAGGGAAATTTTCCAATCTAAATCACTTAGTTGCCACTCTTCAGGGCAATCATAAATGTAAACAGACCTAATATGGCTTGATTGCTGGTGTTGACTCTGCCCCTGAGGACACTAGCCAGTGAGCCTGCTTGGGACTTCGTGGGCAAACCCTGCCCTGCAGATCCGTGTATCCAATGTTAGCAGAGTACTGGACATCTCAGATTTTAAAAGATGAAGACTTGTACTGTGATGTTGCTGATTTTCATTCACAACAACGACAAAAAAACCAGATGACTTTCTCATTCATTGATTCAGAAAGCACACAATTTGTTTCCCATTTGGGGAAGGCGCCTATCGGTGTCTCTTCCTGATCCAAGCGAACCTTTAAAAGTATCTTCACCAGCTCTTCTCTATTGTCTGCCTTGAGCAGGCCTTTGCTTATTGGAATAATTTGCAAGGGGACTTGGTACCGTTCACAAGTGTTTGTAGCTCTCAAATCTTCTCTGTACGATGTTTAATCCCTGTTTCCGGAGCTTCATAACAAGATGAACACTCAAGAAGAAAAATGGAAGAAGCCCGAATTTTAATTTGCTGTTCCTTCACACACACAAAACACTCTAAGCTCAGTCAATGCCCAGAAATGAAGGCCGATAGATAATGATAGCAGGGCCTCCTATTTCCCACCTATTGTTTCAAACTCTAATTAGGAAAAGGGAATTCGGGGCCATTGTTTTCCCCGAGTGTGTGCAGACATGATGTTATCATTGTGTTTACAGAGGTGGCCAAATTCCCAGCACCGAGTCTTCCCCACAGATAACTGTCCCATCTCCGTAAAACAATGCCTTTTGCCGTATCCTAAACATGGTGCACACGAAGGGAAGCGACACATCAACAAACAAGTTTGCAGGCCAGGAAGTTTTAATCAGTTCTTTCTACTGTGGGAGGTATGATGGATGGAGGCCCTGCTCCAGAGGGGTTTCCTTTAGATAAAACAATAATACCCTGAGTTCAAGAACCTGGTCCGACAGCTGAAAGTAATGATTAATCCCCTCAAAGTCAAACATGGGAAGACTGGCAAAAGGAGATTATATGGGGAGTATAATTAGCCACAGTTATCACTGGAAAGAATTTAAGGGCGATTTTGCTTTTAAGGAAAAAACAAAACAACTTCGTAAAGGAGAACTACCAGGAGGGTGACCTTACGATTTATTAACCCATCCATTTTAGATACTTCTGAGAGTGAAAAGACACACAAATAATAACTATGCCAAGACAACAAGCATAGATTTGGATTGTTCTCAACCTGCAGGGCTGAATGTCCATTACCCTCTCTGTTAATGAGAAGGTAAATCCATTCACAAGGTTTTCAGAGTGGAAAAGTATCAAAGTAGTTATGGCTACATCTCTAAGGTAAGAAATTTAGCCATGACCCTACGCTAGATCTCTGATAAATTACAGATAGTAGATCCAATTTAAAAAACCCAAGGTCAAGAAAATGGTTTCCCTACTATTATCAAGTCGACAATGTTAGATAATTTTGATTTTAAATGGAAGAAAACATCATCTAGTAAGCTTAACTAACTGGAAAATATATGCGTGACAAGGGGGGTCAGCTAAAGCTTGCTCCGGGAACTAAACAATTAGGACCTAGTTTTCCTCTTTTTACCTCTTAGATTCATTTCCTCAGCATTGGCACCATTATCTGTGAAGTTTCTCTACATCACATCTACCAGGTTCATTACAATGGGAGCAGAGCAAATGTCTCTTCCTAGGATTCACTCTGACCTGAATTGGATTGCATCCATCCTGATGTAATCTCAGTGTCTGGGGAGATTTGGAAGTTTGGCAAGATTTGGGCCAAGTTGTCACTGTGGAGTTGGCCCTGCAGACATCCCAAAGCTCATGAACTAAGAGTCAGGGAAGCTGTGAGTCTCCCAGATCAAATCAGAATATCAACAAGAGAAAGGAGGATGGGGTTCGTTTGTCCCAGACTCAACAAGTACCTGCTGCTTACTCCCAGATGGGGGCAGTGCCTGATTCGGCCACATTCAGTGGGGGCCACTCATCTGTATCTGTTTGTTAGTCCAGGTTCATCTAGTCCGGGTACCAGCCTGACCCAACACCAGGCTGATTTTTTTTTAACTCAGGACCTGATGGACAACAAAGCAGTCAACCCACGAACAACCACCACCGCGGCACATCTTGCTTCCCTTGTGCCAGAAGCCCATGCGCTGGGGCTGTACTGCTCACCGCACCTATAGCTTGCCACCTAAGGTGACCATGGTGCACATGGGCAGGGACAGTGTCTATTGTTCAGAGCTACAGCCCAGTACTGGCCACCTTATGCCATACAGGAAATAGTTTTTTTAAAGTGAGAAAAATTGACATTATGGAATGAAAATGATAGCCTCACATTTAACAAGGACTACAGCTACATGAAAATACATTGACACCCAAAGTGGGAGCTCATACACATTCCCCTTTTCTCTTGGGAGGAGTCCACATAGATTTAAGGCTGTGAAACCGCTCTCCTTTGACAGATTGTGACATACAGTGTCCCCTCCTCTTTATTTTTTCCCAGGAGTGGAAGAATCCTGGGCCACCCAGTTTCAGGGCCCATGCCCTTCGCTTCCTTTGTAGATGTGAACAGAGGTCCCTGACAGTTAACAATGTTCATTCTGTCATTCCAAGACAAGCTGCAAAATGCTTGCTACAATTTTGTGTATTTGTTTGTGGTAGTGTTCTTATGGTTAGTAGTAGTTTTATTAATAATGATAGCAGCTCATATTGATGCTATGGAATTCTTTCCACCCTCATAACGTTACATATATTATCTTATCCTACCCTTACTTCCCACAGGATTTTCCCCCCACCATCCCCATTTTGCAGATCAGGAAAATTAATGCTCAGAAGAGTCCAGTTACTTGTCTAAACTGTATATCACAGAACCCAGATTGGTTCCTCTCTTTTCTTTACCCAGTGCTAGATTTTCTGACCACTGAACATTGTCTGTCTTCAGTTGCCTGTTCCAAAAATGCAGAAGAGTAATTAATTTTGTTCGGCATGGTAAGAAGAGTTTAGCCTTCTGATAGAATCCAGGGAAGAGAAAAGACTGTGAACCTAAGGTAAGAATCTAGTTGTAGTGACACTTACTCCCAGCAGCAGCCAAGGACCTGTTCTTGATTATCATCTCCCATGCAAATGAATTACTCACCTGAGATCCCATACTGAACTCAGCAGTAGAGAAGTTTAAGTGGAAAGAGTGGTATAACAACAACTGGAGCAATAGGAACAGTAGTCACCATCTTCTGAGTGGTGACGGTGTGGCCAGGCTGTCTGTTTTTCCCTTCTGTGCATTAGTTGCATTAATTCTGCCCACAGTTCTACGTGGCAGAGGCCTCCCATTGAGCCATTTCTACAGATGAGGAGACAAAAGCCAGAGAAGCTAGGTAGCTTCCCCAGAATCTGGCAGAGAATATGGTAGAGTCTAGAATTCGCTTCCAGGCAGTCGGCTCTAGGATCTTTGCCCTGGTCTGTCTTGTTTCACAGTCTAATGCAAGGTGACCGTGGGAAATCATCTCTTTAAAGCCACCCCCAGTAATCTTATCAGCTTTATTTTCTCATTTGAAGATCCTGTTAACAACAGCATGTACCAATGAGTCTGCAACCCAGTCTGTCCAGCTGAAGAGGGTTGTGCTAATGCCTACTTCCAAGCCAAAAAGTTGATTTAAAAGTACAGACTACCAAACTGATACATTGACTATTTCATCTTTCTCACACTTTTCGTAAGGAAGAGCTAAGGCATGCCATGTGGGTCAGGCTAGGTTAGGTATGCTGCAGTAACAAACAACCCCACATTTTCCACAGTTTGCAAAAATAAAAGGCATATTCTTGTGCCCATCACAGGCCTGTCAAGAGCTGCCTCTGCCCTTGCTCTTCTCCATTCCAGGCTCCATGGTGACATTACAGTGTCTTTCTAGCACCCCGGAGAAAAGAGACAAGACAGGTTCTTTGTGCCTCTTCCCAAAAATAACCCTCCCCCGCATCTTTTTAGCCTAATTTCATTGGCCAAAGGGAGTGCCCTGGTTGCTTATAGTCAGGGATGTATAATCCTCCCGAGAAGTGGAGAAGGAAATAATCACACATGGTCACATTATCCCTCTGGGTACTGATAGAAAGCCTTCTTCCTCGGGCCCTTTTCCTGTCAAGTTGCCCCAGCCTCTAAGGTCACAGTCACCAGCAGCACCTTTTGAACCTGTGATTTTTTTTTTTATTATGATTGACCCCAAATGCTGGAGGATCTGCTGTCTGTACCCTCACCTCACCTAGCCCTCCCTCTCACTCACATAAACCCCCAGAAAGCAGTTTCTGTTTCCAAGTTCTGTGCCCTTGTTAAATGTCATCTTCGAGAAGAAAATGCTCCTAATTTTACTCAGAGTGCAGAGAACACCCAGGTCAGCCTCTAGCCTTGCTTGATTCATGTCTTCCAGACTTTCCCTTTGTCTTTCAGGGAAAATAGAGATGGAGACACAGAGAGAAAGTGTGACCTACTTTTCATTATCAGCACCATTTCATCTGCAAAACATGACTTTTCTCTTCTTATTACGCTGAGCATGAAAATAAAATGTTTTCCAAAAGACCTGGCTTTGGCTGTCTCGAGGAAGGCCAGGGACTTGTTCAAAACTCTGATGAACTCGATGAGCAAATGATTCCAATTTTTTAACACCGTAATTGACTCTCAAGCTTCTCCCACTGCCCATGAATAATACGTAGGTACTTTTCTACAAATATCAGCAGTGAGGTAGGACAAAACCTGCTCCCAAACTAGCTGTTTGCTTGATATTAAGCTTTGCCAGTCCAATATAGGTCACATTTCCAACCAGATTTTGTGCTTATCTCTACATTACACCTTGTAGCAAAGGGGAAAAAAGAGCTTCTTGACATCTTTTTGAAGAATGGCGCTCTTTAAAAAAACATAAGGGAACTTTTTTTTCAAACACTATAATGAGGGTATTCAAGTCTGCAGGCAAAACAGAGCTGTTTGAAAAGACATTAGCCTGGAAACCGCGCTGTGCTGGAGTAGATACAGCCACGTCAAAATGCCGCATTTGTTTTGCCATTACTTTTTACTGACTTAAACCATTTGCTAATGAAAGTTCTAGCTGACATAATTCCAGCACCTGGCGATGGAGCCAACGTGAGGTTCCCGGTCATGAGATACATAATAAAACCAGGAGAGTAAATATAATTCCGAAGCATTTAAACTCCAAGGTAGTAGTAACAGTGGCCCCTTAATGTCTTATAATTGAAAAAGAAGTGACGATTTCAAAGAGCTTTCACAGTCATTATCTTTGTCATTTAGACTGAGCAACTTACTCAAATCCTCATTTTACTGCCGAGGAAGCAGGAACTCAGAAAGGTCTTGTGGACTCTGGACATCTCACAGGTCGTAGGGGTAAGACTACCACTGACTTCTTGCCCACTCTTTGGAAATAAGGGCTATTTCAGTAAGCAGAGTACATGTGTGGATGTTTTGTAGGGTACTGTGAAGAGTGAGGGGATAACCACAAATCCCCCAAACTGTCCTCACTTCTGATGTCAATGGCAAGTTTGTGGGGGCGGTTCCCCGTACTACCCTCACCTATGATAACTTAGTAGAAAGACTATCAAAAATCACCAAAAACTAATGTATCTATGGTCATCGTGTAGTGCAGGGCATGGATACAGGTTACAATGAGCTGAAGAAAAAAGGACATAGGCTAGAATCCAAGCAAAGCACCAGACACAAATCTCTCGTGGTCCCTTTCCTCTGATGTCAGGGACGATCTTGCTCCCAGAATCAATGTGTGGCATGTACCTGGCGTCCTCCCACCCAGGGAAGCCTTCTGAGCCTCAGCATTCAGAGATTTTACTGGAGCTCCATCTTATAGGCATGACTGAGTAAGCGATTAAGTCTCACCAACGTGGTCTCTCCATCCAGGCCAGCTGACACCACCTGACATCATGTCCCCATGCTGAGTCACACTGCAGGTGTTCCGGAATGGCCTGTTTTCACCACAAGAATGTGGGGTGTGGCTAGTCTCCACCCCAAATAGAATAAGGACTATCCACTCTGACCCAGGCCCCATGCAAGCAATGTCATTCACAAGGCAGAGATTCCACATTTCTTCAGGTGAAGTGGTTTTGGTTTGGGAAAGCATCTACAGGAATAGATTCCAGGATCCCATCTATACAGCAGGAAACTGGGGTTCATAGATTTGACTCAAACCATAAAGTCAATGGGCGGACTGATAGAAGTGAAATTTGAGGGTCCTAGGGCATGATCCTTAAGCTCTAGAGGCTGTTTCTAGTAAGATTATTCATTAAAACCAAGAACTTACAACTAAGGTTTGTTTTGGCTAGAAACATAAACTCCATAGAGAAAAATATTCCATATGCAGGACTCATGATTCCTTTCCTTGTCTTTCTTTTCCTCCTTTCCTGCCCACCCTGGTTTTACCTGGCAAAAATAGCATCATCGATATCATCGTCACCATTTCTACTCCAGAACATTCTAGAAATAGTGTGGCCATTTTCTTCTATGTGAATCATTGATCTACTCTTGCTATTTTGTGAACCTGCCTTTCCTAATATGTAGTTTCTATTTTGTCTTATTTTTTTTTCCTTAGAGGAGGAGAAGTAAAATATCTTTGGATATTCTACTTGCATCCTACCTGCAATGCATAATATGTTGGCAACTTCTCCAAGACATCTTAGCGGCAGATAGAGGGAACTTGACTCTCCCAGAATAATTAGTTTTTATCTGCTCTGGAAATGTCAAAGGGAGGATTCTGGGGCTTCACAAATGGGCACCTGGGCTGATTGCTAGGAATTATTAATCCATAGACAAGCCTCCTGCTAGAGAAGAGGAGGCCATACAGCCGGGGGAAAATACCAAAAGGTCTTTGAAGCTCAGACATGACGTTCTCAATTCACAGACATCTTAGAAAAGAGCTTTCTTATGTGGTTAGACAAATTTTACAACACTTACAGATTAGCAACCTTTCTGTTTGAGCATGCTTTTATGAGGGGTTGCTTTGAAAAGTATGTTTAAAACATGAAGCTTGCTGTCACCATGTCATTGTAAAAAATGGAACTTGTCTATCAAGAGATATTTATTGAAAAATCAGAGTAAGTGGCATAATGGAGAGCGACCATCCTTTAGAGACAAAACGATCTCACTTCAAGTTCGTCTCTGGTACATACTAACTACTTGCCCTTGTATAAATAGTAAATTACCAAATTTGTCCAAAGGCTAAGATCAATCCAATTTCCTTGTCTGTCAAATCACTCCATGGTTGTTAGAAAAGGGAATGTTGATATCACATATAGCATAATCCTTCTGAGTGTTTAGAAAGTGCTAATTTCCTCTCCAGTTATTTGCTTACCATTTGTTTGTTAGTTTCCATGAGTGTGAGTAACCATTTATGGCTTTAGTAAACTTGCAATCAGGTCATTTTGTACAGTTTGCTATATGACACCCTCAGTGTAAGTACATGCCCTTTTAAGTGCATTGTTTTTAGACCACTTTCTTATGAAAGGGCAACTGTAGTGTGGACATAGGTCTGAATGTGGTTAGAGTTCTTATTATACCCGAGTGCACAGTGGGCTCTGCATGTTCATTTTTTTAACACAGAGAGTGCATTGTTCATCTGTGTTTCACATCGGACACGCTCATTGGCTAAGCCTTGCCAAGGCCACATGGTCAAGGCTACTCATGGCTATCTCTGGGTGGCAGCATACAGGGACTGATAAAATAGCCCGTCAGCTGCTCACAACATTCTAAGATGGCGTCAGAGTGAGATCCAGGCCTCTCAGTAATTGCTTGGTAGGATAACTCTCTACAAAAATATGTCAATAAAGTCTGGGGCTGAAATTCCATCCTTGCTGTCAGGAAATGCCCTCACACCCCCAAAATGACTCACCCTACATGCCTAGAGTCCTAATCTCACCAATGGGTATTGTTTTCTAGAAAGTTTATTTCCACTTGGGAGCCATAACTGCAAAACAGAAGGAGTAATATTATAGGGAGGAAATGGACATTTAAAAAATATATTCCTGTTCCATCAAACTGTGAAGAATGCCTTTTCTCAATGAGAATCAGGCTTTCACACCTATCCTTTGCCAAGATTACAGAAGGGAAGCCTCTGTCTGCAAATCATCAATGCTATTCCACTTCTTTTGAAGTTGTAGGTGCTGTTTGTCCTTCTGGCCAGGGATGAAGTGGCACTTGAAGGCAGGTCACTTGCCTCACGCCCTGGCCTCAGCCCAGCAGGATTCGTTCCTTTCCTAATTCATTCATTTCCCCCACTGGCTCCCTCTTGCCTGTCTTGTGACCGAACATATATGTGGGGCTTTTCACTATGAATGGTTGGGCAGGAAGAATATGAAGCAGGGGGGCAGGGGGCAGGAAAGAAGGGAGAGAAGGCTGGTACAGACTATAATGTACAATCCATGTAGAGTGAGGGAGAGGACAAGAGAGGGGTGACTGCTATTCTTTGTAGGTACTTAGAGACATTACAGAATGTTAAAAAGAAAAAAATAAAGCATGGCCTCTGTAGTTCCAACGTAGTTATCCACAATTTCTCTTGGCTACTTAAAAGACCCGAGTTTGCAAATGAGGTTTCAGGACCATTTGTCTTTGAGGGGCAGCAGCACAATGAGGAATCTAGGAACCTGCATTTGCTCAATTTGCAGGAAGCAAACATCTCCATCTTTGGAGATTCATCCAATAAGATCTGAGTCTTGGGGAAAACTACTTATGTTTCTGAAAGACTCAATGGAGAAAACCTGAGTCTCCGGAAAGAGCCTAGGCCTGGCCATCAGGAGAGCTGAGTGCCAGTTCTGACAAGGAGAGCTCAAGGAAGTCATAGTTACCTGTCCCCAAGCTTGAGTTTTCCCCTGTCTAAAATACAGCTTGTTTTGAGGAAGGCACAAAAGCAGGAACTGGCCCATTGTTACTGTCACCTAGAAATCCCTGAGTTTGTGCTGCGTGGAGAGAGCAGAACACCAGCCTAGCTCGCAGTCCGCATATACCAGGGTGACCTTGGACAAGTTGTTTAATTTCTATGAGCTTTAGTTTCTTCACACATGAAACAGGGATAATAATGCAGAAACATCTTTGGCTGGTTATTTCAACAATTATCTTGGATAATACACAGAGGGTTCAGCAGTATGTTTGGCACATAACAGACCACCAGGAAATGCTATGATTTCCAGTACTGTACAAGTGCACCCATGTGCCTATAAGTTTCCTAGGATAGAGGTTCTATGTTTTCCTCCCACTACTTCAGCGTGAAGTCCAGAACCTGACTTCCAGTAACTACTGAGTAGATACTTGATGGTTGAAAGTCAGATATTTCATCTCAGAAGGTGCACAGATACTAGCACTACAACTCATATTAGTGGAACTACTATTTACACTTGTGTCTTTTCTTTTAAATCCAATTTGGAGAGAAGAAAGGTAACTAATGTACAATTACAGGACTTACTCAAGTGCTTATTTATTGAGCTTCATGGTGCCCAGGCTGCGTATTTTATTTTGGAGTTTTAGTTTTGTTTCAGTGCCCCAGAATGAGAAAATTTTCCTGTTTCTCCTTGAATGAGTTTTTCTTTGGAAAGCAGATTAAATAGGGATTTCTTTTACTGTGTTTATTTTTGTTTCCAGCTCTGAAGTTGAGTGAATTATTCTTCTGTCCAGACACTTACATATTCTTAGCCTTCCCTTTTGCTTAAGTTTGCAGAGATATGTGCTTAAAAACTTGTGTCTGTGTGTGTGCGTGTGTGTGTGTGTATGTGTGTTGGGGGGGAGAGAGAGAGAAAGAAAGGGAGAGAGAAAGAGAGAAAGAGAAGGAGAAAGAGAGAGAAAGAGAGATGAGGTCTTGCTAGAATGCATAAACAACAAGAAAAAAATCACAGTCTCAAAACTTGGATATTGTGGTCGCCTGGACTTCAAAAGCCCTTTGTCTGTGATATTTACATAATGTATTCTCCATGTTTGGGTTTCATTAAGCCCATGAGTTTAATAATAAAGTGTTTGGACCTATGCTTTCCCTACCACTTTTCTTGTTGTGAATAATTTTTGTCCTTTTAAAGTGAAAACTAATTTTTTGGGAACAGATATTTGAAGCTTTAGGGGCCTGTTAAGATAATTGTCAATATACTTCCTAAATAGGTGACATGAAAGAAATTCTGAGAAGAGGTTCCTTTGACTTACTGGAAAAGAAAAATAATAGGAAAGACAAAATGAAAGCACTTGGTATATGTGGCTGTCTTTTGTCAATACTTTTATGGATCTGCATTGCTGTGTTTCCGTAATGTTGTGTATAAAACATGGTTTAAGTGAACGTTTAAGCCTCAGTCTTAGAAAATAAAAAGAAATGAACTTGAACCCGAGCTGCTCTGTCAGGAGAATTACAATGTCTGTTCACCCTAGGCTTCATTTGAGTTAAATTTACAATTATTTTCCTCTAACAATAACAACCATCAAAAGTACTCCTTTAAGTTGAAATGTTTATTAAACTTCATACAGATGCATACATATTAATGTACCTCTCTGCATATCTAATGTACGGTCTCATGGATGTACTTTAGATTTTTAGGAATTTCCTTTTGGCTTCAAATCATTGCACAGAGTATCCAAGTAGACATTGTGTCAAAATAATCAAAATGTATTTAACACTCTCTCAAAAAATCCATTTAAGAATAAGGACGTGGTTTAGGGGTGATTTTCAGACCATAAATTGAAGTGTAAATATTCAAATTATTTTCATAAACTATTCAGTTCTGTTGGGCTTTTATGTTATCATACAGTGATTTTTTTTGTATTTAAGTTTTCTAGCAGTTCTCTTTTTTAAGAGCCTCAAGTGTCCCATAAAAAGCAAATACTTGAATTTTCAGTTTCTGGGTACTGCATATTTTTCCTTCTGCTTGCCTTATTTTTATAACAGTGATTTATAAAGACATTACTAAAGAAAAGGAAAG